GAAAATCCGCTTTTGCATCTTTCTCTACCGTTCCCTGCTCTACTTATAAACATGTTCCTTTCCTCTATCTCTCCCTCGGATTTAGCCTGTTTTTACAAAAACAAAAATTTAAATAAATAGCTAACCACCGTTACCTGGGCTACTATTCCGAATCCCTAGGTTACGGTCTTTCGGGAAGTAAGCAGTCGGAGCTTACAGAGGAGGTGAGACTGTCAGACAAGAAACAATGTCCCAGTTTATGTCTGTGTGCCTGCGCTAAACGAAAACTCAGCTTCTTCGGATGGTCTCCGGAACAACGCAAGTTTCTGCCTCCGAGTGCACTAAGCGATGCAGCCATTGCAAAGTGGCCGGATGAGTATACACTCTCTGAACCTGCTATCTGCGTTCAATTTTGTGGCCTTGATGTCCTGATGATCGGTTTGCGCTCCGAATATCTGCGTTTAAGACTGAGCACTCGCGAGGTGAGCAGTACTTTCTACCAACTTTACTACCCCTTACGTCTTTATGCTTCTGTGGAGCGTCTTTGACACTCTTTTCGTGTTCAGCTTTATGCACTCAAACAGAGCCTCCCACTCTTTACCGCTTAGTTTACAGTTTTCAGTCAAATGCAGCAGCGTAATGATTATGTTCCAATGTTATTTCTACTAAGAAATTAAGCTTTATAACCCGGAAACCACCTATCTGTTTTTTGCGTAAGCTTTGCACTACCGCCGGTCGCATTTTTCGACGTTCCCTGCTCCTTAATCGTTTCTTATGTTTATAAGTAAATACATTGTATAGGTAAAATCCAAGCGGCCCTTTAATTACAAATTTAGTGCTGTGGTAAAAATAAAAACAAAGTTGGTAATCACAGCTGCGCATAAGCAACTGTATAACAACAGGAATGAGTATTCCGTTGCACATATTAAGTCAGATCCGATTCACAATGGTCCGTCATTTAAAGTAATAGTCAACAATATCAGGTAAATATGGTGAACTGAGGAAGAAGCGGTGAAAAAAACTCGTAGCATTGAAATCGGTGGCAGAATTCAGCGACCCCCGATTTCCAAAAACTATAGGAGAGGAAAATTACTTAAATAGGTAATTTGACTGCTATGGAATGAGATGATGCAGTGACATGGGATCGTGAAGT